TTTTCCTCACTCACTCAGGAAATTAAGGGAACACTACCTCAACCTACATGCTCCACTCACAAAGCTCCAACAAAAGAAAATTCAAAGAACTTAGAGAAGAAGGCTTTGGTGTATTTAACACAATACGTTGAAATGAAGGAAAGCTTATTTATTGATATCCCCGATAAGCTACAAATATGTACATATACATGAGTCAAAATAAACAAACAAGAGAGAGCCTTCACAAAGGTTGCTTAGGAGAAGTCGCAGCAGTCGGTAGAGCCCCAGAAAGAGAAGGCACCGGAGGGGGATCATTCGGAGCCTCAGTACTGGACAGAACCCTAGAAGGAGGAGGCATCAGAGGTTGATCATTTGGAGCTTCATTACGCGGTACAGCCCCAGAAGACGAAGGCAATAAATGCCTTTGGAACAAACCCACAAATCTCTGATGATCAAGTAAAACCTGACCATCAGATTCCTTCATCTGGTCCAGCTTCCTCTTCATGTTTGTAGCATAGTCATGTGCGAGACGGTGCAACTGTTTATTCTCATGCTTGAGCCCTCTAATCTCCTGTTTGAGACTCATCACTTCAGCCGCCAATGATTCAACTTGGCGGGTTCGAGCAAATAGGCGTTGGGCCATATTAGACACAGAACCTGCACACTGAACACTGAGAGCCAGAGAATCCTTAACAGCTAACTCATCAGATCGTTTGGAAAGTAGTCTGTTATCTTTGGGAGTGAGAAGGTTCCTGGCCACCACCGCAGCGGTCATATCATTCTTCATAACGGAATCCCCAACGGTAAGAGGACCAGTAGGGGAGACGAAGGATGGGCGCCATATGTTTGTCTGGAGAAGGCGGGGCTGCCTCTTCAACAAGGTTCAAGTCAAAACGACGGTCGGAGGGGCCAGACATTTTCAAAGGTGTTGAAGAGAGAAGAGGTCGAACAAATCAAGATCTTAGAAGTGTAAGAATGGAGCTTCTACTGGGGGAGATTCAAGTGTGCTTTGGAACTTAATGCCAGCCCCTATAAAAATCTGCACTCGACGGAGCTTCAGAAATCGAAGAGGCGCCTGCTCAGAAATCGAAGAGGCGTTTGCTTTCTCAAAAGCTGGGCTGCTCAGAGACCACGAGGGTCGATCTCAGAAATCGAAGAGGCGTCTGCTTTCTCAAAAGTTGGGCTGCTCAAAGACCACGAAGGCCGATCTCAGAAATCGAAGAGGCGCTTGCTTTCTCAAAAGTTGGGCTGCTCAGAGACCACGAGGGCCGATCTCAGAAATCGAAGAGGCACCTACTTTTCCAGCCTTGGCAGCACCTGTCACACGCACACTCAGCTTTGCGGAAATTATGGGCATTCTGTCGAAGACTTCTGGTGAAGTAGAAAGCACATGAGTCTTACTGTTCAATCACCCACTTCCCACACGCAATAGTAGCTCATGTGTATCCACAGATAACTTTGCCAAAGTTCTCTGCCAAAGTTGAGCACGTGAAGCTTGCAGCTTCCACTACATCGCTCTGACCAAGACGGGTCAAAAGAATAGCAAAGAAACAGCACTAACAAAGTTTAGACACATAAATTTTGAAGGTCTAGCTACCCCATATTATTACCCACAAGGGTAAAGGAACAGTATCACTGCTGGATAATTGGAAAGTCCCTGTGTGTCAACCTCTGTGCTTTCGTGGCAAGGTAGACTAGCAAACATGCCCAACCTTTACTCACATTCGAGAAAACACTCCCAACAAGATTGCTTGCTCCAAAATCGAAGAGGCACCGTCCTCCGAATCTCGAGAGCCAGACTCCCAACATGACTACTTTCTCAAAAATCGAAGAGAGGGTAAAGGAACAGTACCATTGCTGGATAATTGGAAAGTCCCTGTGTGTCAACCTCTGTGCTTCGTGGCAAGGTAGACTAGCAAACATGCCCAACCTTTACTCACATTCGAGAAAACACTCCCAACAAGATTGCTTGCTCCAAAATCGAAGAGGCACCGCCCTCCGAATCTCGAGAGCCAGACTCCCAACATGATTACCTTCTCAAAAATCGAAGAGACACCGCTCTCCGAATCTCGAGAGCCAGACCCCCAGCAGGATTGCTTTCTCAAAAATCGAAGAGACATCGTTCTCCGAATCTCGAGAGCCAGATCCCTGATAGGATTGCTTGTTCGAAAACCGAAGAGGCAACACTTTCCCAACTACAAGAGCCGGATCTCCTTGGATAAAGCTGTCTGTAATCTTCACACGCAACATCAGCTTTCCACATACCACAGACCACTTTTTCAAAGTGCTCTGACAGGGTAAAGGAATAGCATTACTACTTGTTGTTAAGGAGACTCCTATATATGTCAACCTCCATCCCCAACGGACAGACAGACCTGCAAAAATGCTCAACCCTTCCTCATATATGAGAGGGCACTCTCAACGAAGCCTTTCGAAATATTCAGCTTTCTTTCCCCCCGATAATACCTCTGCAAACAAGTTATACTAGAGCAAGAATATCTCATATCATCAGGGTTAAAAGCAAGAGTATCCCATATCATGCTTTTTCCCTGTCTTTTCCTTTGGCCTTGTTCTTACCTGCAAGACAAGGAGAAAGAGAGCAATCAGTCAGCACTTGGAATCAAGCTTCCAGCCAGGAACTGACTGCCTGGAACTTACTTACCCTGGCATTGCTCTCGAGTACTCATCTTCAACATCTTATGCTTCCAGGGAAGATACCGCATCTGCCTGAGGAACAGATAGGGCAAGTGAGAAGGATACAAGAAAGCATGTGGAGACAAGCGTAACAGCACACGTGCCGATACATCCATTACTCTGTCAAAGCAAAAGTATCCCATATCAATAGGGTCGAACGTACTCTAGATTTGATGGACTTGTTTTGACCCTCAAATTCTTCAGTCGGCCTTATACTCTGGAGGAAACCAGAAAACCCTCCAGCTCAGTTCAAGAATAAGCCTGTGGAAAGTTACTTCTTCAAAAGCAAAAGTATCCCATATCATCTCTTCTCATTTTTCTTCTCTTTATCCTTCATGCTGCCTGCAAGATAGGGAGAATGTGAACAATCAGCCGGAGCTCTGATTGCTTACCTTGTCTGTCACCTCTTTCAGCAAATCCCCTAGCTCGGCAACTTGAGGGACTCCTACTACATGGTTTGTATCGCGCTTGACCAAGCCTGAAACTACAAGTAAGCTTCAAGTGAAATTGATACATTACCTTGTGCATCTCCACCAGTTAAAGATACCACCCCTGGATGGAGGAAGAGTACTTCCAGAGAAGATGCCACATCTACCTGTGAGACAGATAAGGCAAGTCAAGACGATACCACATTCCGATACTTAGAAGTTTCGTGATTACGAGATCATTCTCCCACAATATTTCCTAATGTCATTTGTACTAAATCATTCACCTGTACTCACTAAAGGAAAGCTTGAACCTATGTACTTGTGTAAACCCTTCACAATTAATGAGAACTCCTCTATTCCGTGGACGTAGCCAATCTGGGTGAACCACGTACATCTTGTGTTTGCTTTCCTATCTATATCCATTTATATACTTATCCACACTAATGATCGGAGCAATCTAGCGAAGATCACAAAAAGCGACCGTTTTCGCTACCTAGGATATATCGTGCAAGAGAACGGAGAATTAGAGAGATCTCAACCATAGAATAGAAGTTGGATAGATGAAGTGTAAGAGTGCATCCGGCGGGTTGTGTAACCGTCGTAGGCCACTGAAGCTCAAGGGAAAATTTTATAGGACGGCAATAAGGCCAGCGATGTTGTATGGCACAGAATGTTGGGCGGTGAAGCATCAACACGTACACAAAATGGGTGTGGCGGAGACGAGGATGCTTCGTGGGATGTGTGGGCACACAAGAAATGATAAGATTGGAAATGAGGATATTCGAGGTAAAGTAGGAGTGGCCGAAATTGAAGGAAAGATGAGAGAAAATCGGTTCCGGTGATTTGGACATGTGCAAAGAAGGCCTACTGATGCTCCGGTTCGAAGATGTGACTACGGGACAGAGGTTCAGGGCCAAAGGGGTAGAGGAAGACCTAGGAAAACTTTGGAAGAGACTCTAAGAAAAGATTTAGAGTACTTGGTTCTAACGGAGGACATGACACAAAACCGAGCGCAATGGCGTTCTAGGATTCATATAGCCGACCCCACTTAGTGGGAAAAGGCTTTGTTGTTGTTGTTGTTGTTGTTGGTTAATAAGTGGGGGATGCCAAAATATGGCATTGGGTTGAAAAAAAGACGCAGCCCAGCTCACTTGGGTTGGCTACAATACACGGGACAAGGCCCTGAAAAAACAAATACTGTATCTGATTTTTTGTCTAGAAACAGTGTTATATTTTGTGTTCTCCAGAAATAGTTTTATATTTTGGTTTTTTTTTTCCAGACACTTTTTTCGCCGGTTTCTGCCATTAAACTTCTTTGAACTTGTTTCGACGGCTTTGTTCCAATGAATGCTTCATTTTTCAACTTTGATTTGAACTTTGATTTGGTTGTTTTTGAAATGGGGGAATTCGATTTGATAGGAAGACAGGGAGTTATTATGGTGGTTTCATGCTGGGTTGAGGTTGGTGAAGAGTCAGGACAATATCAAATCATTTAAGGGTATTTATGGAACTATAGATTTGTAGCAGGTTGGGTTTCTAAGTTTGACCCGTGAACAATAGTTTTGGATGATTTTTTATTAAATTTTGAGCCATTTTGGTTAAATAACATTTTGACATAGTTTTTTATTAAATATTTATTGGTCCAAACCATTTTCATTAAAGTTTCCTATTTTTTATTCTATAACAAGAAAATAATTATTCAAGTTGAAAATTTTAAAAATAAAAAAGCCGAGACCATGTAAATAATAATATAACGTTGCTTGGTGATTAAGTTGTTATGGGCATTCACACTATATTTCAAAACACATGGACTGCCCTTGAGCTGGTGTGTTGGACATACCTGTCAACTATGTTACATTTATATACTAAAAAATTAGTGTGCGGTACATATATTAAAAATGCCGACCTGGTGAGCATCCCGACTTGATGGTGAGAAGAACTATTATAAAAAAAGGACCAAGACTCAAATCTCCAACGCCATTTGCCTCCGTCTCCAGAGCGACCAGAGCACGAAATTGCCATTCCTCCTCTCTGCCAGGCTGCCAGCTAACGCAAAACCAAGCCAATCCCTCTGCTCTTTCTTTCGTCCGCAAATTGCTATGGTGCTCGCTGTCGCTATTGCCACTCTGGTAGTTTCAACCGGCATCACATCCTCACTTTTTACTGTTTTGTACAACAAACTTGCAGATCTCACTTTGGAGAAGATAGGCAAGAATGATGACGTCGCCGACAAGCTCCAAAAGCTCGCACGAACGCTGCTGAAAATCGAGTCTCTTGTCGACGACATGGAGAACAAGCAAACCAACTCCAACTTCTGCGAGATGCTCATTGAACATGTCAAGAGTGCCCTTTTCGACGCTGAAGATCTGCTGGATAAGATCGATTTCGGAAAGCTGGAATTCAAAACCGCCATATTGAGTGTGAAGTCGGAAGGGGAGGTTGCGGTCATTCGGATGCTGGAAAGAGTTGAAGATTTAGTGAAAGAGATGGAGGGTTACCTCTTGTCGGAAATTAACAAGAAGCGCAGTCCTCCTCAGAGTTTGGATGTTAATCCTCGCACTAGTTCGTTGGTTGACAAGCTGTCCGTGTTCGGCAGGGATAACGAGAAGGAGAAGATGGTTGAGATGCTGCTGGCGCAGCGGACGGAGAATGTTTCTGTGATTCCGATTTGGGGTATGGGCGGGACCGGAAAAACAACACTTGCTCAACTTGTGTACAACGATCAAGCTGTCGTTCGAAATTTTAAGTTGAGGATGTGGGTGTGTTTTTCTTCTCTAGACACTGACCTGGTTACCGTCACTAAATCAATTTATGAGTCTGCTACCAACGAGGTTTTGGAGTTGCCAAATTTGGATGCCGTTCAGGTCGCACTGCAGGAGAAAATGCGGAGGAAGAAGTTTTTGCTCGTACTCGACGGAATGTGGAATGAGAATCCGGCTTTCTGGGATGCGTTGAAATTGCCCTTCAGATTTGCGGCCCCAGGGAGCAACATTGTTGTAACTACTCGAAGCAAAATTGTTTCGTTGATTGTAAGCACTGGTCAGCGGTATGATTTGCACACTTTGTCCGGTGACTCGGGTGATGAAGCTTGTCGGGACATAATTAAACAGAGCTTCGGTGGGAATCTCGATGGACATGGAGATTTATGGAAGATAGCAAAAAAGTGTAAAGGCCTCCCGCTGGCAGCCAAAGTGATCGGACGTGTCTTGCGATTCAAGTTAGGAACGAAGGAGTGGGATCACATTCTAAATTATGAGCTTTGGGACTTTCCAGAAGATTACAAGAGCCAAATCTACCCTGTACTTAAAGTGAGCTATGATCACTTGCCGTCGAATTTGAAAAGATGTTTTGGTTATTGTTCGATTTTCCCTCACAAGTTTCAATTTGAAGAGGATGATTTAATCCAACTATGGGCAGCAGAAGGCTTCATCCAACCCCAAAGAACAAGAAGTGTCCAAGGCATTGGAAGAGAGTACATTGATTTCTTGCTCTCGAGGTCTCTTTTCCAAGTTTCACCAAACGATGCAGACCGCCAAACAGAGGCAGAGCCACATGGAGGACAGGTTAGCCTTAGGCCCATCCTGGTATTTTATTTTATATACTTATTGTCTGCTAGGTTTTCATATAAAGAGCTTGTAGTGAATTGGTGAGTGGAGTTTGCCAACTCCTTTTGGCTTCTATTCTATCATATAAAAGCTAATTCCTTTTTTGGGCCGTTCGTATAAAACAAGGTCTATACAATTTAGAGGAAGATTCAATTATGTTGAAAGTAAAACTTCATGATAATAGTTTGAGCCATGACCTTAAATTTTTGTTCAAATGAAGTTTTGATTTTAAGATATAATCATCTCAATACTAATATTTTTCATAGAAATTTTAAATCTACATCACTCTTGGTTAATAAATTGTCCATGGCAATAATAAAAAATTTAAAAAAAAAAATCTTTTATCTTTCCCAATTAATTATACTCTTCATATAAGATAAGGTCTGTACAATTTGGAGATGCAATTTATGTTGAAAGTAAAATATCATGTAATGGTTTTGAGTTATGATCTTAAATTTTTGGTGGAATGTTCCTTTTTTTTTTAAAATCACGTAAACAAGTTATATTTTTATGGTATAATCATCCCAACACTATTTTTTCATAGAATTCTTAAAAAAAAAACTAATAAAAAAAACTTCAAAATTTTGAATTTTAATAAAAAATCATTTAATAATTTTATTTAATGGTTAGGATAAAACTCAATATTAAACAACCCAACAAATTTGGCCAATTACCTTTTTTTTCTTTTTTCCGTCCTTCCCTTTCAACTGGCCCCACACCCCCTCATTTCTCTCTCTTCTCTCATCATGTTCATTTTTCTCTTTATACATACATACATACATACACAACAACAACAAAGCCTTTTCCCACTAAGTGGGGTCGGCTATATGAATCCTAGAACGCCATTGCGCTCATTTGTGTCATGTCCTCCGTTAAATCCAAGTACTCAAATCTTTTCTTAGGGTCTCTTCCAAAGTTTTCCTAGGTCTTCCTCTACTCCTTCGGCCCCGAACCTCTGTCCCGTAGTCACATTTTCGAACCGGAACGTCAGTAGGCCTTCTTTGCACATGTCCAAACCACCGGAACCGATTTTCTCTCATATTTCCTTCAATTTTGGCTACTCCTACTTTACCTCGGATATCCTAATTCCCAATCTTATCCTTTCTCGTGTGCCCATACATCCCACGAAGCATCCTCATCTCCGCTACACCCATTTTGTGTACGTTGATGCTTCACCGCCCAACATTCTGTGCCATACAACATCGCAGGCCTTATTGCCGTCCTATAAAATTTTCCCTTGAGCTTCAGTGGCCTACGACGGTCACACAACACGCCGGATGCACTCTTACACTTCATCCATCCAGCTTGTATTCTATGGTTGAGATCTCCATCTAATTCTCCGTTCTCTTGCAAGATAGATCCTAGGTAGCGAAAGTCACTTTTTGTGATCTTCGCTAGATTGCTCCGGTCATTAGTGTGGATAAGTACATAAATGGATAGAGATAGGAAAGCAAACACAAGATGTACGTGGTTCACCCAGATTGGCTACGTCCACGGAATAGAGGAGTTATCTGAAAAAGAACACATTGATGTAATACGAAGATTTTAAAAAAAAGTATAATCTGCAAATTATTTTTATAAAAAATAGTGACCATTTATTTCTATAAATAGTGTCACCCTGTGGCACCAATTCTAGAAATAGTGTCGTCGTTTCTAGATCTAGTAGCACTGATTCTAGAAATAGTGTCATCAATTTTATAAATATTGTTATTGATTTTAGAAATAGTGTGATCATTTCCAGAAATAATGACACTAATTCTAGAAATAATGTTACTGTTTCTAGAAATAGTGTCACCCTTTCTTAAAAAAAAAAAAACTAAAACTAAAAGAATCTGACTAATATAATAAGAAAAGGGCTTGAATTTCCATCAGTTTGCTTAGAAATTTATTATTTTTAAGAAACAATATTTTTTATTAATAACATTTTGTTAGTATTGTTATTAAAAATTTGTTGATAATAATAAAAATAATAAAAGGGAGGCAGGAAGGAGTGACATGAGACTGAGAGAGATAGATGATAGTGATAGGTGAAAGAGGGAGAAAGAGATGATGGTGATGGGAGAAAGAGGGAGAAAGAGATAATGGTGATGGGTGAAAGATGAAAGAGATGATGGTGATGGGTGAAGAGGGGGGACTTCGAGTGAGGGATGGTGGGAGAGAGGGGGAGGGGGAGGGGGAGGGGTAATACGGGTAAGCTATTTTAGTATTTCTTTTTTTTATTATTATATTAAAATTTTATCTTTTTAATTAATAAATAATAAAAAAGTGGACTTTGGAAGCATTTCCTATTTATCAACGTTTTTTAACTGAAATCTTGTTAGTTTTCGGTTTTTTATTGAAGTCTCTGAAATTAATGCAATAATGCATTATATGTAAGTTATTATAATTTTTAAATTAAAATTTTGTATTTGTAGTTATTTATATTAATGAGTTTTTAAATAAAATCCATAATTTGTTGAAAATATTAAAAAAAATTATACTTAAATAAAACCCATGATTTGTCATTACTTATATTAATGACGTTTTACATACAAAAAATTAGTAATTTTTATACGGTACATTTTACATAAAAAAATTTAGTACATTTCATACAAAAAGGTGATATGTTTTATATAAAAAAATGGGTACAGTTTATATAAAGAACAATGGGTACATTTTATATTAAAAAAAACAGTGGGTGCATTATATATATATATATATATAAAACAATGCGTTTATTTTAGTTAAAAATAAATAAATAGGTCTTACATTAAAAAATGGGTACATTTTACATAAAAGAAATTGTACTTACAAAAAAATTTGGTATATTTCACATATAACAAAGTGGTACATTTTTAAAGATAAATGGGTACATTATTAATAAATTATGGGTACAAATAAAAGGTTAAAAATATGAGTACAAATATAAGTTTGAAAAATATGGAAACAAAAAGAATTTAATAAATGGGTACAAACTAAAACTGAAAATAAAATTGGTACAATTTTAAAAAAGGGTTGCAAATTAAAATGGGTACAAACAAAAGATAAAAATATATGATACAAAATTTAGCCATAAATATAAATATATATATCAAATGTAATGTTTCTAACACTAAATGAATATGTTTAGAAATAAAGTTTAATTATCTAGAAATAAATATTTTATTATTGAAATAATTAATGATGTTTATTAAAACCAAGGGACCTTGATAAAAAATTGAAAAGGAATAAGGTTTCAATTAAAGGAGTTGAAAAAAAGAGGGAAGGGAATTTTATTTTTTTTTATTTTTTCACAAATGAATTATATTGGTATATTTGGTCTAATTTTTTTTATATGTCTTAAAGGTCCCTCCTGAGAGTGATTTATGGCCCCGCCACTGCCGCCGAAAATATGAAATCCATGGCTTCATTCATGATATGGCGAGACTGGTTTCGGCCAACTTATGCTTTCGTCTGGAGGATAGCATGTCAACCTTCTTGCCCTCTAAAAATGTACGTCACTCGTCTCTGCTTCGTAAAAACATTGAAGAATCCACACTAAAAGAGTTTCACAGGTACGAGAAGTTGAGGACATTTATATTGCATCCTGAACATGCAACTAGTCTTAGTAAAGTTCCTGAGGGTTTTTTTAAAAAGTTGCCATGCTTAAGAGTGTTGAATTTGAGTCGTAGTCAAATCACTGAATTGACCGAATCCATTGAAACATTGATGCACCTTCGATACCTCAACCTTAATAATACCCCTATCAAAAAGTTGCCAAAGACGTTAACAAATATACATGGGTTAGAAGTACTCAAGCTCGAGAACTGTTCTGAGCTCCTTGACTTGCCTAAGAACTTAAAGAACTTGAGTAAGTTGCGACGTCTTGACTTTGATAGATCGGAACAAATCAATTCCTTGCCAAAAGAAATTGGAAAATTAACTCTTCTTGAAATTCTGCCTGTATTTAAAGTGGGAATAGACGGAAATTTGGAGGCGCTTAAGAACATGACATGCCTTCGTGGATCAATTTCCATAAAAAATCTTGAGAATGTGGCAGATGTTGCAGAGGCTAAGGGTGCTATTCTACACAACAAGCAATATCTTGAAAGTTTGGGATTGCACTGGAACAATGGAACTAGAGATGCAACAGTTGAACAAGCAGTTCTTGAGGGCCTTAAACCTCATGATAGGTTGAAAAGGTTAAAAGTAGTAGGTTACTTGGGTTCAAAATTTCCAGATTGGATAGGCCAATCATCGTTTGGCAAGCTTGATTCTTGCCTTACTGAGCTTCGCATTGATTCTTGCCCAAATTTGGACTCACTACCTGCACTTCGTCACCTAACTTCACTTGAAACTTTAGACATCGACAGGTGCCCTCAGCTTCTATCAATTCCAGGCGCAGCACTACCACGCTCACTCAAACACTTGAGCATTTCGAGCCAATTGTGCACAAGACTTCCTTCTCTTGGTCAACTTCCAGTTCTCAAAGACCTTGTCATTGGAAAGATGGGTACTCTGACAAACGTGGATCGTCAGTTTTGTCGGTTGGCAGGTTCTTTTCCATCCTTGGAGACGCTAACATTTTGTGACATGCCAGAGTTGAGTATTGGATCAGGAATAAATAACCTTGACATGCCTCGCCTTATAGAGCTTCGCATTGATTCTTGCCCAAATTTGGTCTCCCTACCTTCAGTTCATCACCTAACTTCACTTGAAACGTTAGACATCAACGATTGCCCTCAGCTTCCATCAATTCCAGGCAAAGGACTGCCACGCTCACTCACACACTTGAGCATCTCGGACAGTGACAGTTTAAAGAAGTGGTGCAAGGGAAGAGATGGTGACGATTGGAGCAAGATCAAATGGATCCTTGAGATAGTGATTGATGGTGATGAAATTCCAATGGATGGGCGTGGAAATTGAATCTTGTTGCATCTCCATCAACACATGGAGCGGTTCTGAGCTTGATAAAAAGGTATTTGATGCTATGTTTGAACTATGATGATTGGTTATTTGATCTTCTTCTATGCTGTCTACCGTCTCTTTGTTAATCACCATAAATTCCTTTCTTGCTACTACATATGAATTAGTCTGCATATATCAAATTTTTCAATTTGTGTGATTCTTCTTCTTTTTTTTCTTCGTCTTGACTATGTTACCGGAGTAAAAAACTTATTTTACACATGTAGGATAAACTAATTGATTGATATTTTGTGCAGGTGGAACACGAAGCCCTCTAGATTGACCAAACGAGTTGAAGTTGTTCGAGCAGGATTTCTGGATCTGGTCATTCGCACAGCTCCCTAGGGAAATGGCACTTTCTTGCCTGTCGGGCAAGATCTTGCAGTTTGGTGTATTACAAACAAGTTCATAGTTAGTTTGAAAGGTGCCTTTGTGGGGCCTTTAGTGTAGGCTTTGAGGTTCATGATCAAAACTAATAAGCATCTGAGCGTGCCACTGTTATCTTTGTATAATAGATTGTTGAATGCGTGTGAATTAAGTCGATTACTTGCACCTCAAGTTACTTATACTTCTTGTTTATCAAAGGATTGTCGCAAATAGGTTAAGTCTACATTAGGTTCTTTTCTTGCCTTGTAAACAAGGACTTTTAATTCATAACATTGTATGTCCAAGATGAAGGGAGTTTAGGGCCCTTTTGTTCATTTCCTCAATCAAAGTTTACTTTAATGAAAACAGGCTTATTAACTTAATCAGATTCGAATACAGATGAAACTCTCAAGTAAAAAGCAGTTGAAAATGACTTGAATACATGAAGGAAAATGCATTAAACGACATATCTACTACAAATAAATACAAACAAAGGAGATTCGAGCAAGATTTAACCTTGTCGGGCAAGGTCGAACTTCTTGCAACCATTTCTCTTTTGTATTTACAGAGGTTTGTTTATTGAGAGGGATGAAAAGTAAATAGGTTTTACTATAAGGAATCGATACTACAACACTGTCTTGATCAAGAGTGTGTGAAGCTTTTGAGAATTGTGGTTGCCCTTTATTGATGAAGCTCTTGTTGGCACCATAAATTGGTTTTGTTTCACACTGTCTTGATCAAGAGTGTGTGAAGCTTTTGAGAATTGTGGTTGCCCTCCTTTGATGAAGCTCTTGTTGGCACCATAAATTGGTTTTGCTTCACACTGTCTTGATCAAGAGTGTGTGAATTTTTTGAGAATTGTGGTTGCCCTCCATTGATGAAGCTCTTGTTGGCATAATAAATTGATTTTGCTTCACACTGTCTTGATCAAGAGTGTGTGAAGCTTTCTACGAGTTTGTAGTGTTTGCATTATTACAGAGGGGAAATGTCTGAAGCAGATGCAAGAAGGCTGAATAGCTTGATCTTCGTATGCCATGCACTGAAGTTGTTATTGGCTTGCAATAAGACTTTGTTGGTGACTATAACTCTTGTTGGGCATAAGTGCTCCCCTAGTTGAGTTGTCAAGGTTGAGGGTTTTCGATTATTAGTGAATGCTAAGAGTTCACATGTACAAGTTGTACCATTCGTCTTCTGGTAGGTGGAATGAATGGTGAGTTGTTTTCATCACTTGGTTGGTGGTACGAAGGTGAGTTCCTTCATCACCTTTCATCACATTTCATCATCTGGTTGGTAGCACGAGGATGAGTTCCTTCTTCACCTGGTTGGTGGCATGAATGGCAAGTTGCCAAATGATATTAGAGTACGGGTTGTACATTTCATCACCTAGTTGATGGCATGAAGGAGAGTACGCGTTGTACATTTCATCACCTGGTTGGTGACATGAAGATGAGTTTCTTCTTCACCTGGTTGGTGGCATGAGTGGCAAGTTACCAAATGATATTAGAGTACGGGTTATACATTTCATCACCTGGTTGGTGGCATGAATGGCAAGTTGCCAAATGATATTTCATGGAGATATAGAACAACATATAAGTTATCATGCTTGCATATCCACCATTTGAGTCTAGAGTGCGGGTTGTACATTTCATCACCTGGTTGGTGGCATGAAGATGAGTTCCTTCTTCACCTGGTTGGTGGCATGAGTGACAAGTTGTCAAATGATATTAGAGTACGAGTTGTACATTTCATCACCTGGTTGGTGGCATGAAGGAGAGTACGGGTTACACATTTCATCACCTGGTTAGTGGCATGAAGATGAGTTCCTTCTTTACATTTCATCACCTGGTTGGTGAGATTAAGGGCAAGGTGTCTAGGCACATTGTAGTAAGTGTCAAATGACACAAAGTATGTTGAACCCTTTCGAAGCACAGTTGGCTTATGTGGATATGTTGGATTGTATGATGTTTATGTATGAATATGTTAGAATGTATGATGTTTATGTATGAATGTGTTTGAATGTATGATGTTTATGTTGATTGATATGAGTGATGCTTATGAATGTTTTTCTATGCATGAAGGGATCCATGCTTTTGATATGTGAACCATGTTGGTTGTAACACTTAGTATCATATACTTTGTGTCAAAGTACGCATGTTGAAGCTCTGAGTTGGAGTATAAGGGTAGGTCAGCGTAGACCAAATGTTCCAGTGCTAGGAACGCAAAAGACTTAGAAGAAGTTGTCGGATTCCCTTTTCTTTAAATATTTGTCGAATGGCTTGTGTGACAAAAGATCTCAAACGGTTGAGAGTCAAAACATTTGTAATGTGTATGCCTTCTTATAATAGCATTTCCTTCAGTACCTAGTCCTCCACTTTGAAAGAGTGAAGCTTGGCCCAATAGTCATAATAGTCGACGGTACGTTCACCCCTGGTTGTTTTGATACGAACTTTTATCCCTCTTGTTGTAATGGGCTTACTGAGAGTAAAAATCCTTCCTCTTACCAAGAGACAGATACGTTTGGTGACTTAGCGAGTAGCTAAATGAGGCAGAAGATGATGCAATGGGTGTCTGAATGGTCAAGATCTCCTCACTTGGTAGAACATGACTTCCACTTCCCACTTGTTGATAAGGGTTAACCATATAGGGGTTCCATTGGTATGTCCTTGCTTCAGCGGAGACGTGGTTGTAAACATGTGTCATCACCTCAGAGTAAGTCTTCTAAGTGTTGGCATTGATCATGTACTTGAAGAAACAATCACGTAGACCTACTGTGAAGGCCTTGAGGGTGGTCTTGTCATCTACCTCAGCGTAGCGAGAATACTCATGGTTGAAGCGATTGGCATACTCTCGTAGTGACTCGTCCGGCTTCTGGCGAATAGTGTACAAGTCATCTGCAGAATGCAAGTGATCGGTCTGGAAGATGTGTTGAGAGACAAACGGTTTCCTCAGTTCCCCAAATGAGTCTACTGTTTCAGGTGAAAGACGGCAATACCAGTTTAGAGCTTCGCCAGAGAGGGTGGATGGGAAGAGAAGACATCGATCTTCGTCGGTATGCATCTGATATGCCATGGTGGACTAAAAAAGGTTAAGGTGTTCAATTGGGTTCTCCCTTCCAGTATAGAGTTGTAAACCAAGCTTTTGTTTTGTCTTCGCTTAAAGGGGGGTGTCGAGGATCCTCCTTGTGAGAGGGCCAGGCCTAGGTTGGTTCCAGTTAGGTATCTCGGCCTGACGTTCGGCCTTTAACTTGTTTACTTCCTCAATGAGCTGTAGGACAATGGAGTCCTGAGTGGAGTCATGTACCATTGGAATTTTCTTTCGTAAGTCTCCATCGCCTCTTGGAAGTAGGAAAGTTTGAGCAAGAGCATGTGGTTTTTCCTTAGACTCGTCGTACTGACTTCTAGGGCGAGTCTGTCGGAATACCTCAGAGTCCCTTGTACCTTCATGTTCCTCTGGGACCTGTCGTTCCTTCTCTAGATTGGCAGCTGGCTTGGGTCGTTGGATGAGACTAAGTCTTTCATAAACCCTTAGGTCATTGATCTTCGAGCATATGTGGAGGGGATTCTCTCGACGTTGCTTTAGGAAGCCTCGGCAGTCACGATAAACAGCTTTCGATCCTTCCAACCCTTCTGCAAGAAGGTGTCTTCCTCCACTTCTCATATTTCGGGTCAAAGCATCTGGGTTGAGAGAAGTCTCATGTTAATCAATGTTTTGATAATTAGCTCGCTCCTCATCAGGGATGCCTATGTCGAAGGGAGGTGACCCTCCGTGTTGGGGGGCACCCAGATGATGGTTGATGTCCACAGAGGCAACGAACTCGTGTGTTTTAGTACGCCTAGTTTCGTGGAGTGTCTCAAAGAGCTTCTCATACTGCTCCTAGAGGACCTCATTCTTCATTGCTATCTTGTTGTTCTGAGCTTCTAGCTCATCGACTTTAGCTTGAAGAGCAACATTTTTTCCTTCATTCTTTCGTTGTTCGCACTAGGTGCAAGAGGGGTGTCATTATGTGTGCTGTGGCTTCCTTCGTTCCCCATGTTGGAGAGAGATGCCTGGTCAAAATAGAGTGTACGAATGATGGAAACCACCTTGACAAAGCTGAAAAGAGTGGGAATAAGTGTCGTTTCCCACAGACGGCGCCAAATGTTGATGCACAAAATCAGTGAGGACTTTGGTACAATAGAAAGTGTTAAGTTTGTAACCTTCGCTAGATTGCTCCAATTACTAGTGTGGATAAGTATGTAAATGGATAGAGACAAGGAAGCAAACACAAGATGTATGTGGTTCACCCAGATTGGCTACGTCCACGGAGTACAGGAGTTCTCATTAATTGTGAAGGGTTTACACAAGTACATAGGTTCAAGCTCTCCTTTAGTGAGTACAAGTGAATGATTTAGTACAAATGACATTCAGAAATATTGTGAGAGAATGATCTCTATTTATAGAAGAGAGTTTCTAGTTTCATTATAACATTGACACGTGTCGTGTTGTGATTGGCTTCTGATGTTGACACGTCGCGCTAGGATTGGCTTCTGATGTGGACACGTGTCACGCTGTGATTGGCCTCCTGGTTGGAGGGAAACTCTTCTGGGTCCTTGACGGTATAATGTTGACAGGTGCTCAGTAGTTTCGAGATTGGTCAAGTATGGTACAAACAAAGGGAGTTCAGGGCCCTTTTGTTCATTTCCTTGATCAAAGTTTACTTTAATGAAAACAGGCTTATTAACTTAATCAGATTCAAATGCAGATGAAACTCTTACATGAAGGAAAATGCATTAAGCAACATATCTACTACAAATAAATACAAACAAATGAGATTCGGGCAAGGTCGAACTTCTTGCAACCACTTCTCTTTTGTGTTTATAGAGGTTTGTTTACTGAGAGGGGTGAAAAGTAAATGGGTTTTACTAGAGGGAATCGATACTACAACACTGATTACAAACTTGTTTAAAAACAAAGTTTGGATATCTTTTGATTAATTGGTTGAGTGTCCTTGTCTCTGATGTCCCTTTCTGCTTTTATAAACAATTTGGCTTGACTCTTCAAGCCTTGCCTTCAGCTAGTAACTTTCGGAAGGCAATGAGTCATCACTAATTTACTTTTCATGCCCTTAAAAAGTGTTTTTTGGTTGGTGGTGAGGTGTTCTTTGTTGCCCATCACTTCAATCATTGGCATATAGCCTATACCCTTATTGAAAATAGCTTGCATTCATCTCGGGCCTATCGACTAGGCTTGGGCAAGTCTTCATTTGTTTTTGCATCTCTGGGCTTCCATTATCAACAAGCCCAATGTTAAATATAAACCCAAATAGAAGTAACCATCTGAGGCCCCCTTGTAGATGAACTGTTGTCTGACCCTTGATACTTTATGTTCTAACAAAGCTTGGCTTATGCACAATTAGCAGCAGCTCTTGCTAAAAAACCAATGTGGCTCCTCCTTTGTTTGACATTTGTCCAATTGGCTTTTTTTAGTACAACGATATTTTTACACTATGGGAGGAGAGTTCGGCTAAGCCACACAATAGGCAGCTTAATTTGGTATCGAATTCACCATCCACTAGATTCGAACCTAAGACCTCTCACTTCTAAGCGAAGAAGAACACCACGAGACCGTAGTTCTAAGCGAGATTCGAACCTAAGACCTCTCACTTCCAATTGGCTTGTTAAACTAAGTAATTATTGACAGGTGTCAAACTAAGAAGGAGCTACATAGGCTATTAGCATGAGATGTTGCTAATTGTGCAGCAGTCAAGCTTTGTTCAAGTAAGAGAATGATTACCCTTTTTTATTTTATGATGTAACACGCTTTCTATGGGAAAGTTTATTACTTGGGGTGCAAGTTTGTTCTTTCTTGGCTTGCAAGACTTTCTCTATTCAAAATTCTCTCTTTTTATTTAAAACTTATCGCATGCCTTTATAATGCTCATGAAGAACATTCATAACCTAATTATTTGTGATCCATTAATTCCATGCTCACTTGGCTTCAATCCCTTGGGATTTGAAAATTCCTCATCCCAACATTTGCCTTAGACAATTCACAAATAAGTCTCTCTAACTCTTTTTCATGTTAAATATATTTAAAGCACCATTTTGTTGAAGGAAAAAAAATGTATTGTTGATAGGCAGCAAATGGTGGACTACCATGGTGGATAAAATATTGCTCTTTTTTCGACTTTGACTTGAGTTAACCCCTTTCCCTCTCTTTAGCATAGTTTAGAGTCGTAAACAATAATATCGTTTGTAACAAAAAAAAAGTGTTGATAAATGTTATTTTTACACCCCTGAAGAAGGAGAATACGAACTATAATGGATAGGGAAATTACGTCTGCTCTAACCAATATGGCAAGTTAAGCAATGACATTACACTTAAGTATACTATTAATTTCCACTCATGCTATGCATGTGCTTAGGAGGATTTTTTTTTTAATTTTTTCAAATGGAGTTTTTAGAGGGACTTATTGTAGTAAACAATAAAGAGAAAAAGTAGAAAGTAGGAGAGTGAATGTGGGATAAAATTAAAATGAAATTATTAAAATACCCAAGACTTTTGAAACAAATACCAAAACCCCTTAGCATTTCAAGGCTATAATCGTCATTTTCAACTATCTTTAATTGATAAAGAGGCTATACATTGATGTGAAAACAAGCAGGCAATTTATTAGCAACATATAATAGAGTGTCTGCTTATATGAAAACGCGCACGCGCACATGTAGAAGAATTGGAGAAAACTAACACCCTATGTGCGTGCGTGCGTGCGTGCGTGCGTGCCTGCGCGCTTTTGCATGGGCATGCATATAATGATAGTGGATAGAAAAACTATAAAACGATCGCAACCCAAATGGATACAACCCATTCTATAATGGCCCAATATCAAATGCTTGAATGTTGCTTGAATATTGGTGATGTTTTTAAAATTGTTTGTTGTTTTTGTTATCTATCTTATTAGTTTGGCATTGTATTAGATGTTTTTTATTATTATTTACAAGATTTAAAGGGGTGTAGCCAATTTGGATTTTGGAGGATTTTAATAGACTTTTTGTAAGTGGCAGATTTCAAAACATTTTAATAGACTCTACAATCTTATATAAATTTTGGCCTATTTATATGGATTTCTGTGATAGATTCCTATGGATTTGTACGAACTTTTTCATGGATTTCTATGTTCTTTTATGGATTTCTCATTTGAATTGAGGTATAATTTTGTGTTCATGTGGGCTTATTTCAACCGAACTAGGGCTTAACTCGAATGATGCAGCCTTGGTCCGTTAATATTTAGTTCATTAGTGAGGAGAGGATCTTGTTTTGTGAGATTAACCATTACTCGTATGAAGTACTTTAGTTTGAGTGGCAGTTGAGACAATTACGACCAGCAAAGAACAGACCATAAGCATGTCAGAGAAAAATGGCTGATGAAAACATTGAAGAAAATGATAATAGAGAAGAATTTTATTGGCTCAAAATTACTTCAACATATACGTTTTATGGCAACGAAATTTCAATACGTGATTTAAAAAAAAATCTTTTGTTGGTCATGATTGATAGGAAACATATGACACTGTGCACAACCTTTCCATCAGTTGGTCCATGAGCATAAGGGCTTTTGCAGCTTCAACCATTGGCACAACTATGCAATCAAGCTGCTGGTATAAATCACGGAAAGCAAAATAATTGCAAATACAAGGACTCTCAGTTTGCTAGTGTTGGATAACGATAGGATTTGCCTTGTAAAACCATTATAATTAGTCTTCCTCATGGTTGTATAGTTTCTGAATTTACATTCTTGGAAGTAATTTATCTGATCAAAACTTTGTCTGTGAACAAAGGACACCGCAATTTTTGTGGAAAAATAACCATCCGATTAGAAAGAATATGGAGGGTAAGGTCAACAGCAGCCATGGCCCATGTCTGCTATGCATCATGCATAGCATAGAAAGGAAAGGAACAAGTAGGGTGCCATGAAACAGAGAAATTAAATTGTGAGAAAAGATTGAATAGAACTTTAAGGGGCGGATATGAGGTTCTTTATAACCTTTGTTATGCATAAAATTCACTCTCAAATCCTACAAAATCTCTTACTTAATGAAATCTTTCAAAATCTTGACATTTTGAATATCTACATATTTGTATGCACTCTTTAGATCATCTCCAAATGAGATATCAAAACTACCACGTAGACATACAACAATAAAAATGGCAGCAAACTCTCTCCAACTGAGCTTTCAATTTCTTAAGTAGAGCTAAGTCAATTGAAGGGAAAGTTTTTTGTTATCAAATTTGACCGCATATGTCAAATTTATTATATAATTTTTTAATAGATTAATATATTATATAATAAATATTATTTTGTTTTTCAAGTATTTGATTATTTGTCTCAATTATTGGACCCTACAAAAAGATAAAAAAAATATTAAATGACATTATTATTTAACATATCGAGTGGAGCACAATATTGTACAAAATGTCAAATTACCACATAAGTCATCAAATATCATTTTAATGTTTAAAATTTGACACCTCACTTGGAGATACTCTTAAAATCCTAATTGATTGCCTGGATTTAGATGCATTCTTTTAAATCCTGTTAAATCCTACCTTGACTACACCATTATTTTGAAGCTTCTAAAATCGTTTTTTTTTTTTTAAATCCTAATTGACTACACCATGTTCTAAATACTTTTAAATCCTTTAAAATCTTAATTTAATTACACCTCCTTTAGTTCATGCAAATTCAAAACAATCCGCCAAACAAACAAGACATTGGAGATTCATACTTAGCTTGAATTACAAATATCCACAAACAACTTGTCTAACCAAGATTGCAATTTTTTTCTTTTGTTGAGAAATGCTAAAAAGACTTTCTCAAAGTGAGCTTTCTGTCACTTTACAATTTAATATTAATTCACGTGTCAATACTATTAAATATTATGTACATAAAATGATAAAGAATCCACGAAAAGTTTTACTATTTTTCTATTTCTTTTATTTGATATCCAACTTTAAGATAGAGCCATTCAATACATATTGGGGAATATCAAACGTGGGGCCACATTTTCTCATTTCTGAATTTATTGACAAAAAAGAAAAAAAAATAGTCCCGAGTTTTTTCTTTTCATAGATCCGATTTATTTTCCACAAAAAAATATATAATATTTCTTATCACCATTTGATATCTAAAGTCAGAAATATCAATCTCTCTCTCGGTGAATCGAAATCGAAATCATGCAGATTTTTGTGAAAACCCTAACCGGGAAGACCATCACACTCGAGGTTGAGAGCAGCGACACCATCGACAATGTTAAAGCCAAGATCCAGGTACTCTATCTCACTCTCTCTAATTTCAGTTTTAATCTTGTATATTTATTTGCCCTATTAAGGAACGTCCATAATTTTAGGGTTTCGATTCTGGTCAATTGGGGTTTTGTTTGTTAAGATTTTGTAATTTGCTTGGATTAGTATTTTGTATCAGTGTTTGTGATTGTATTAGTATACATATGTGCTTCAAGGTTTAGGATTTCTGATTTTGTTTTATGAAAAGAGGAGCATTTAGGAGCTGTACTGTGTTGGAATAATTTTGTAGCTAGGGTTAGGGTTTCTGATTTCAGCTACTGATGCACTGGGTTTTTTTGGGGGTTAAAATTTATTGATCTTACCTCAGTTTTTTCAGCTTTATCCTTATTAGAAGGGAAATTTACAATCGAAAATTTCTCCATGCCGGCCCTTTTGGGAAATAACTGTGTAAACTAATTTCTGTGGCAGACTGGCAATCAATTCCATCCAATGGGTTGAGGAGTTCTTATTTATTTGTGCTTGCTCTTCCGCCACCCCCCTCCTCCTCCCCCCCCCCCCCCCCCATATTTCTACTCATTGATTGGTGAGTTGGGTTGGGGAAAAATGAATTTCAGTTTTCCAGGCTTCTTTTTGTTGCTTTTCTTTTAATTTTGTGTCATAAAATTATCCCAATTGTATGATTAAGCCGTTTATGAGATTGTTTATGTAGGGTTAGTGAAAAAAGAATATTATGACTGGAGCAGGGCAGTGAAATTTAATTTACCGATGCTACAAAGAAAATATTATTATCTATCAAAAAACCTTTTCATCATGACAAGTTTTAGATTATTAATTATTTGTTTTCACGGAATTGTGGAAAAATACCTTGGTCACATAGACAGATCAGTGGCAATTTTGAAGGCAATTCAAATGTTAGAGTCATGATGTTTCTGTCCTTAATACATTTCATTTGTGCGCATCACGGTAGTTACATTTTTTGCTATGGGATTGCATGGTAACTTGGATATGTTTGTTTTCAGGATAAGGAAGGCATCCCTCCTGATCAACAGAGATTGATTTTTGCCGGTAAACAATTGGAAGATGGTCGAACTCTTGCAGATTATAACATCCAGAAGGAGTCAACGCTTCACCTGGTTTTGAGGCTGAGAGGAGGAACTATGATAAAGGTGAAGACTCTTACCGGGAAAGAAATTGAGATTGATATTGAACCAACTGATACCATTGACCGGATCAAGGAAAGGGTTGAGGAGAAAGAGGGAATTCCTCCAGTGCAACAAAGGTATATTTTCTTCTTGTTATAATATTCAATCCAACTAAAACAATACGTTATTGTAACTCAAGTTACTTCTGATTGATTATGTATATCTGCATCAATATTATCAAACGCTAATCGTTTGAATTCTTTTTTTCTCATGCATTGTTTCTCATAAATATAATTAACATTTTGATTTTCTTCCCTTGTCCTATCTGCTCTTGCTCTCAAATTGGGCAGCAAGTAATGTCCGTTCTAGCCTCATTTTTGTCCTGTAACAATGTTGGAAGTTGTGCTGGTTCACTATTCACTTTAAAATGCTCTCGTTCATGATTTCAGTGTTCCATAGCACTTACAGTTGATCATCTTCTGAGATTGTTCAGAATAATAGGTTCGTCATGTTATTGTTGACTTTTGTTTCTATTCCTATTTGGGATGTTTTGGCTGCTTCTGCATTTTATTTGAACTGGTTGTTTGTCGGTGGGATTGGACTGGTGTTTTGACGACAGATGGTACCCAATAATTATTGTTCTGTATATATACATCTGAAAACTTCAAAATAAAATTTGGATTTGAATTGGATTGCTTTCTAGTTTTGAAGTCTTGTATAGCTCTTAGCTAATGGGAATAATCTTATTAAGCAGCATCTGCCGCATTATTTTAGATCTGTTCATTGCACTCCAGTTAACATATTGTTTCAGCACAGGTTGAGTGGTATGCTTACTAAACAATTCAGGAAATGTTTTTCATTTTAATGCGTTTTTGGATATTTGGTCATTTTTTAAGTTCTTTAGTTTCTTTCACATGTAGTACTGGCCATTTTTTTTTTTTTTTGTGGTAGGCTTATCTATGCTGGCAAGCAGCTCGGGGACGACAAGACAGCTAAAGACTACAACATTGAAGGGGGCTCTGTTCTTCATCTGGTGCTTGCACTACGAGGTGGTAGCCTATAAATAGTAGTTTTCGGTTTGGGAAAACTCTTTTGTTCAGGCATTATCGAGTCTTGATGCCTTAATAAATGAGTTGCATGTTATTTGTTGATAAATGCAAATACAGGGCAGAAAGCCTGTTCTAAGTTGGTTACTCTGGACATAAGTATTTATGTTACATATATCTGCCTCTCTCTCTCTCTCTCTCTCTCTCTCTCTCTCTCTCTCTCTCTCTCTCTCTCTCTCTGTCTGAATTTGACATTCTTAGTTTAGGGTTTAGAACTTTAGATTCTATTCACATAATTTTTTTGGAAAATTTGGAATGTGATGATTCTATTTTCTTTTCCTAGTCTTATAGGCTTCTATGTTCCCTCTCCCTAAGAGAGATCGAAAGAAGCTTCAATTTATAGGCGTATGCAGACCCTTAACCTTGTTCTTTTACTAGTAACATGGTTGTCTGGGTTCCGTGACATCAATTGATTCAAACCTGGCTTTTCATGAATATTGAACTCGTCCACTAGATTTAGAGCGTTCAATAATTCTCCCTTGAGTACAATAAGCTCCCACAATAGCGAATAGTCCTTTCTTTTTTGGGGGAACTAATAATAGTGCGCCTTGTGTGTTCAACCTTGATCACACACTCAAGAATAGTTGGCAATAATAAAGTGCTTTGTGTGTTCAAATAGAATTATTGAGGTAAACCTTTGAAAGGTAAACCTCAAGCAACTCTTTTAGGACATCAGAGTAAGTAGAAGCACTTTTAGGCAAAGCACTCTTAGGCGTTGGAAGGATCTCTTTCTGAAGAGCTGTTGAGTCCAAACCCTACAAAAAAAAAAAAAAAAAAAAAAAAAAAAGAAACGGCTCTAAAAAGAATGCGTAACAATTCCTATAATCTTAGCATCTTCTCTATCCCAACATGTAATAATCCTTGCAGATGATCTTTTCATCTAAAATGTACTTCAGCCTATGGTGTTGTGTCGCTTGCTCCTCGACGGGTGTCCAAGGGGACTTTTGGAGGAGGTTCCCTCTCTACTCAAAGGAGACGGAATCAATAGCCCGGGACTTCTTGCCGTTGTTCTTGGAGAAAAATTGGCTTGCTCCAGAACCCGGGACTGAAGCTCCAAAGGATAGTCCCTCATGCAACCAATTCGCGGTCCAGCTCCTGTTGTCCACCTGCTTGTTAAATGCTGAGCCAACTGGTATGACTTCATTCCCTTGTGTGAATCAATCCTCTGCATGATCTTCTCCTTTGGCACTGGCTTTTCATCTTCTTCGAATTGGTCTTCTTCGAACAAGTTCAGTTTAGGGACCATGAAGTCTTCTTCTGTTAAGATTGATTCTTCAGCTGTTTCATAACCATCGTCATCCGAGGCAGAATCTATGAAATATTCGCGACACGTGATTGGTATTCCGTCCTTCAAAATGTCAAACGCATCGTTCCTTTGTGGTATATCGAGTTTGCCTATCTTTGAGCAGAATCTTTCGGGTAATCTAGACAGAATAGGGTTGGGATTTTCCGCAGAATTAGACTCCTCATTTCTTGATTCATTGTTATGTTGCCCTGTGCCTTCGGTTTTTGTTGTTGCGGTTTCTTTTGGTTTTCGTGGGCTAATTCGGATGTTGCTGATCTTTTTGGTGAAGCCTCCATCTTCTTCATCAGCTGGAGTTTGCTGTAAATTGAAAGAGAAAACTTCTTTATTCTTTAGTGAATGTCATATACTGCTACATAAAACATCATCTTCTGAAATTGACAAATTGTAGAAGGTAATTTCTTGAACTAAAACAAAGAAAGTTTGCTGGGTGTATATACCTGAACATTTGTGAGATCTACGTCGTGTTCCAAAAGGAACATCATAAATTCCTGAAAGTTTTCTTCTGTGGGGAGATAATGCCCGCTGTGAGGCCAAACTGACTGTTGATATAAACCAAAAAAGGAAAAGGAAACGACGAGTATTGTGTTAAACATCGTCATAGCAGTACATAAAGGATCGATCTTCTATATACCTTAAGAATTCCTTGTTCCACTACTAATCTTCCAGCAGAAAGTGTTGCTCCGCCTGCCAAGAAACTCGAATGTTGAAACGTCCCCTTGCTCTTCTGTCCAACATACAATGTCTTGGTTGTGCTAAGCACAAATATCCACTTTGTGCCTTTAGGTTCTGATGTGTCAAGAAAGTTTCCACTCTGCTTGTACACGAACTTCCCATCCTGCACTACAATTTCGTAAGTCTCTCGTTCGATCTGCAAAATGAAGCAACCGTTATCAGTAATTTGGTTCCCTATGAAAGTTTAGGGTTAGATTGAAACTTTGGTGAACACCGAGAACATGAACGAAAAATCATGATGAAAGTTGAGGCTCACCGGGCCAAGATACTTGATGCATTGTGTTTGAAGCTTCGACCTAGGGCATACTTCATGGCTGACTTCTCTTCCATCTCCTATATCGAGCCTGCATTAAGAAATAAACTTTCGTAATCACGAAATAGGTGCTATACAATGTTCTTGGCTGTAATCATTGTATGATGTCCCAAATTTACTTACCAATAGAAGAAGGGTTCTTTACTTTCGCAATGGAGCCATCTGGCATAGTAAAAGTGAAGATTGTGGCCATAGCGATGTCGAGGATCAATCTGTTAGGAGGAAGGAATACGAGTGAGAATTCAATCTGTAAAGAAAACTTAGTACATTGACTCCAAGTATGGAACTTACTGCCTCAAGCCAATGCTGCAAAGCAAGTTTACGTGCTTTTTTATCCTTCGACAAACCTTTTCCCACCTTCAAAAGAGTTGCAGCAGAAATTAGAACCATAACTTAGCAGTACACAATGCATGGTCACACAGCTTTAGAACAGGCTTACCTTTGCAGCTTTAGTTCTTGCCCGAGACCAGCGAGAAACAGCTGTCTCAGGTTTCTGAATGTCGAAAAATGATATAGAGCTCCGCTTTAGTTCAGCAAAATCGAGCACCTTCCACCTACAAAGTGAGCCACCAAAATATAAATCTAACCGCACATGAAGTAGGCATAAAAAAAATTTCCATTTCCTTTCATGCTGAAAAAAATGGATGGCACGGTTCTTCAAATTGCAAGCACACACGAATCAATGCATACCATCTCTGCTCCACAAGAATTGCACAATCCGCAAGTTGTCTTCTCGTGCGAAAACTCTTATAAACTTTCTGCAGCCTCAATGCAGCCTGGTATCTGGGCTCCTTGAACGAGTTCTCAGATGTCCGCTGTTTCTCTCCAATACCGCTTTCTGCTCTAGCAGACACATTGTTTTCCACATCCCCGGAAGGTGAGTCTGCTGAAACGGCATCTAATTCCATCTCTTTAAAGCTAATTGTTTCTTCAAAGTTCATATTTCCTGAACCAGGTGACTTCATTGTAGCGGTTGGTGCCAAATCACAGCAGGTGTTGGAGCTCAATGACTGCAATGGCTTCCTCTCTTCTTCTCCTATGACTAACTGGACTTACAAGAACAGCCCCACAATGGCTATCCAAATCATCAAAATCTGCAAGTGGGCAGGATACTGGAAACCCCATTGACCACCAAGGAATTTAAATAAATAAATTTACCACAAATAACCAAGATCTGTAACAACAAGATCTATGGGGTCTCTATAACTGCAAAAAATGAACAAAATGTACAAAATTAGTTATGAAAATGTTCATAGTATTCACGAAAGACATCATAATTAGTAATATTATGGCTCGTTTTGTTTCCAAAATTAGATTGGATAACTCAAATAATTCGAGATATTGTGAAGGCAGAGGCGAATGATTTTCATTTTGACGGAATTAGAAGGGACTAGAAATAAATGAAACTCATCGCTTCTTTCTATTTGTGGTGATTAGAAAATATAAGTGTCCTTTATGAGTAATTAATCTTCTACCTTCTTGTTCCGTCCTTCAACATACCTTGAATATAGCGAGTTATACAGCTCAATGAGCACCAAATGAGCCCTTACTGTTCAAACATTTAGGAATGGAGTTCTACCATTCTATACATACATGGATGGAGAAATCCATGTCCTCCCCATTCCTGCTTTTCTACAAGAAATCTAAACATTGTTCCTCAAAAGCTGTTTTTGCAACCTCCATGCAAATAGCAAAAAGCAGGCTTTAAATCCAACAAAAACAACCAATTCCTCAAATGCCTTAAATGCAAGTACTAAAATATATCACTCCCATTGCAATTTTCAAAAAACAAATTAAGAATTACTCAAGAGAGCATTTTGATACATTCATAAAAACAAAAGTCTGATAATTGGTGGCAAATTAAACACAAAAATAGGGGGGGGGGGGAAACAACTGAAAAAGATTAAATGAAGGGTACACAATAAGTGTTTACCTTAATCAGAGACAGAATCAAAAGGAGAGATGGCACTGGTTTAAGACAAAGATTGAGGTGAGATAAACAAAGAAGGGTAGAGAGAGAGAGAGAGAGAGAGAGAGAGAGAGAGAGAGAGAGAGAGAGAGAGAGAGAGGGAGGGAGACAGAAGAAATGGGCATGCAAATGGGGGGATTGGCAGGTAATGATGAAAGAGAGAGCGGGCAATGTGGGTAGTTGAAGAAAGTTGATAGGGTTTCTATTTTATTAAGCTAATTCAGAGCTTAATTTACCTAGTTTTTCTTCTATGTTTCTGGCTTAACACAGCACCTATACGTTGGCTACATGCTATTCTTGCAATGCAACCTTTATATATAGAAAGCATGGAGATAGAGAGAGAGAGAGAGAGAGAGAGAGAGAGAGAGAGAGAGAGATAGAGGGAGTCAGTAACAATTGAAGTATGTTATCCACACACATGGTATTGGCCACATGAGAAAGCTCACCTACTTATGATATATTTAAGGCAAAAAACATATTCACAATTGGATTTGATCAAGAAAATGAATGGTTCCAATTATTAAATTTGTACGGTGAAAATGCATTAAATGCAAGGGACTAACAAGGTGGTGCACCACATAGGGTGGATGCAAGTATTGTCCCATGTTTAAGCACGCCTTCACATAACTAGATTGGCTAGAGCACATGTGTTTTTCTATGCATTCAAATTCAAATCTATTTTCAGTAATTTAATTAGATTAGTTTCAAGATTTCATAGGGACGATTGGTGTACCACTGCTAACCACATCCCCCTCTGCTTCTTTGGTAAAACGGAAAGGTGCACACGCCACACGTTTTAGAGGATAATTAAGTAACTTTCTTGTTTAGGGTTTGAAACCTTTTGTTATTAATAACTAAAACTAAATTCTGTTATGATATGAGTTATCATTTACCAAAAGCTAACTAATCTCAGTTTAGTAATGCAATTAGTTGTGGATGTTAAAAATTTCCCATTTCTTTTATTTGATTTTGCATGTGTGGATTTTGATTTTATTGTTAATATTAAGGGAATTTTAGTCTATACTGGCAGAAGATTAGAATTAGAGATTGATAAAATATAAAAATTATGGGGTTGTGTAATTTTTCAATACAATGATCTTGCAGTTGAAGCTAAAATAAATCACATGTAAAAAAGAATATCATTATATTATAGTAATTTAGTAATAATGAATATCTCTGAATTTGGCTAAATATTTGGGGTCACTTTTTGTTGGAGGGAAGCTTCTCTGGCGGTACTTCTTATTCGACAAAAGTCTCTGCTGGATTTTGAGCCGGAATATGAGATGTTTGACTCAACAAATATATTATCCTTCCCGATATGCAAAAGCTGCTCCCACTCTCTAAAATGATCTGTCGAGTTGACCAGCACATTCTTTTGGAATTTAATTTATTTTTGTACAGAGTGGATCAAATTTTCCATAACAAACCACTGTAATCATTTATCTCATTCATGTAAGTCAAACATTCGCGAATAATTTTAGTTTACTTTCTCCGCTGCATGCTAATTAACCACTCTAATCTTCTTTTGGTCACTTTAACCAAATCTAATCAAGCTGCAAACACGATCCACATGATTCATGCAATTCCTTTTGAATTGTATATAGATACTTTTACACCTAATACAAATTAACCTTTCGAATTAACTAGTTTGACACATTAACCGTCCAAACCTTTGTCCCATCTTTTTCTTTACTCACAAAATTCGAGTGGTTGAGATAGATTATTGATGTGATCCAATTCTGAATTCTAAAGTTTATTGTTTTTTTTTATACAACAGTGAATTGCTCTGGTGATTATGGTAATTATGTACAAACTACTATGTTTTAGATTTAAATCTAACTTGAAATAAATTAAAAAGAAAATACCCTTTCATTAATTAATTATCTACGTAAGTCATGCATGCACATATGCATGGAAACTTCTTTGGTAATATAATATAATAAGGGTAGTGATAGTGTGTAAAGTAGTTAATCGGACGCAAGAAGCTCTATGGGAAGTCCTTTGCTTAATAATTATATGTAAAAGAATATGTCGAGAAATCCAACATGTCAAATATAATGTTGGATTTTATACCATGCAATTTTTTTTTTTTTACGGTAAAAGGGAATTCATTTCATAACAAACCAAAACATAAAAATTATAGCAGGTGAAGAAGGCTTCTAAAAGGACCTCAACCGAGTAAACCCAGTGGGACAAACCCCGACCAAGGAACAAGAAGCCAACCTGCCAATTACATCATACCCCAATCCCAGACTCATCCTCAATTCATTGCATTAACCACGGAGGACCCGTGTCTACCCATAATGATAAAACCCGACAATGTTTGGTGCAACGTGTGCCTCAGGATGCAAATTAAAACGAGCTAATCAATGAGCGACATTGTTTGCATCCCGAGGCACATGCTGCACCACCACCTGATTAGCCAGTAGCAAAGGCCGAATTGTCTCAACATAAACCCCCTCCGCAGCCAAGCCGACATCATCTTGAGTGAGTAGATGGATTTGCTCATGTAACTGAGTTTAAGTGAGTATAAATTTAGTCCAAGTGACGGAGATTGATTTGCTCATGTAACTAAGTTTTAATTTTAGTAGCGTTATTGTTCAATAAATATTTGATACGTGTTCAAAAAGTGCACTACATCATATGAAAAATGGAGACTACGTAGTGAAACAACAACATGAAAGAATCTATTCAAGTGGTGAGTGCATATAACGAAATAAGTTAGAATTAAGCGGGTCAATGATTCAATTCCCATCTATCGTAACCTAAAAAATATTGTCAATCACGCAGATACCACACATTCATACATGACCTACATTAGCAAAATATTTCTGATCCGAGTAGCAAATACTTAAAGATGCACCTAAATGTAGGTCATTTGATTCAAGATTTGGTTGTGGAGTGGTCGATCCAACATGTGAAACGTTGTTACATTTCTCACTGTAAGTAAAACGTACGAGACTGCAGAAGAACACGTTAAAGTGCATTTAATTTTCCGGCAAAAGTTAAGTTTTAGCAATAAATTGTGCCATTGTTTTTTGGCTCACTTCATAAATGAAAAATGGGTCACCGCAACTGTTTTGACAGTGTGGTTGTAACTACCCTTCACTTGAGTATTATTCTCTATTTCTTTTCTCCGTACAATTGATTTTATTTTTTCACTAATACAATAATATATTTACATTTAATTTGTGTTAAGCCGCACAACGGAGTGCGAGTTCAAGTCCAGTGGGAATGAAGGTCTACATGAGATAAGAGTGATGATTGGAGATCAAGAGGTACTAAAAAGGGAGCACTTTCATTATTTTGGATCTATCTAGCAAAAGAACGGATGATTGAATGGAAATTTCAACCATAGAATAAAAGTTGGATGAATGAAATGGAAGAGTGCATCGGATATGTAGTGCAGCCGACGTATGCCACTAAAGTTTAAATGAAAATTTTATAGGATTGCAGTAAGATCACCAATGCATTATGACACAAAATGTTGGGCGATCACATCAACACGTGCAAAAGATGAGTGTGCGGAAATGAAAATGCTTTGTTAGATGTGTAGGCATACGAGAAATGACAAGATTAAGAACGATGATATTCGAGGTAAAGTAAGAGTGACCTCAATTGAAGAAAATATGAGAAAAGTTCGATTAAGGTGATTTGGACATGTAAAAATGTGAGGACAAATCCCAGATCGGTGATGGACAAACCATGCAATGGCTTAAAAGTAAGTCGTGCTATATTTCATATTGTCAATTGATTTTATGATAAAACCTCAACTTTTTTCACATGTGAGCAGATTTACAAATACTCGGATTAGAAAATTCAACTAAGAAGTTATCATCTCTAAATATTTAATTTAGTGAGTGTGAAATCACGTCGCATTTACATATTTTGCACCATCACCGTACGGCCTACTAGATGAGTAGGATTTGTTTAGATTAAGATTAGATTCGATTGTACGACCAACAGCTATCGCTGCGCGCTCTGTAGCTTTCTGCGAAAGTGCTTTCCAGATTCCGACTGAATCGAATGACCACCGAAGAATCTCCGACAAGTTTTTGTTTGGATCAAGTTGTCCAACGCGTTTTGTATTTGTAAAGCACCGACAATATACACTCTTCGCAAACAACTCACACATTCCCTAGCCCGTATGTATAGTATTTGATAAACAAATCAAGAAAATTTCTTCAATATTACTTAGCATTGATTGATACAGAGATAAATAAGTAAAATTAAAAATAGAAAATCTAAACGGTTGTGTAATCAAATTTAACAGCTAAATACGCGTAACATTAAATAATATATAGCATTGAAGCCACACTCACAAATTATATAGTCTTGGAAAATTTCAAGAGAAAACTTGTAAAATGTTATTCAATGGTATTTTTTCTCGTCATTTGATTGTTTGTAAAATTTTACGCTAAAGAGTGTCAAATTTGGACTAAGCCACACAAAAGGCCAACCATAATAAATTAGATATCGAACTCGCAGTTTACATGATTCGAACTTAAAATCTTATGTTTACAAGCGGAGAAAAAAAAAATCGGACCATAGTACAATGTAACTTTACTGCACTCAATTTTAGTCCAAAATAGTGGCACTGCTGTTGTTTTTCCTATATCTATAAGTTCAGAATTAAGTACTCTTAACTGCTTGATCAATATATTCTTTGTTGCACATCATACAACTTTTATATATTTATCTATTCATCCAGGATATTAATGCATACACGCATTTTCCACAAGGAGTTAGCCAGTTTAGTGATTACATATAATGTTGTTGATTGCCCAGAAAGCAAACTTTTAGTTCAGTTTTTTTCATGTGGAAGACCATAAACCACAACGCTCAACGAACGCCCTAAATCTTGCGGCGTCTCTTAGTTCAGTTCTTTTAGTT